TGTAAAAATACTACTGGAATAGCCAACACTTTGCTCTATTTTTATGGTAAAAAATACAAAGACTGCTTTATTTATTTATTTATTATTTGAACTTATATGCCACCACTCCCCTGGGGCTCGGAGCGGCTTACAAGAATGGCTAAAATCTAAAAAAAATTTAAAAGCAATTTAAAACAATTTAAACACAGCAGTATCAAACATTAAAAGCCTGTCGAAACAGGTATGTCTTACATGCCCTGCGGAAAGCTGGTAAGTCCCACAAGGCACGGACTTCAGGTGGCAGAGTATTCCAGAGTGATGGTGCCACTGCTGTGAAGGCTCTGCATCTGGTTGCTGTTAGACGCGAGGTCTTGACACTGGGGACTTCCAATAGATCTTGGTCCTCAGAACGGAGGGATCTCTGGGGTTGGTAGGGGGTGAGGCGGTCCCTCAGATACATCGCCCCAGACCACGCAAGGCCTTAAAGGTGAGTACCATCACTTTGAAAGTGATCTGGTGCTCAATTGGTAAACAATGCAGCTGTAGTAAGATTGGTGTTATGTGGCATCTCATCGGAATTCCCGCAAGAAGCCAAGGAGCTGCATTTTGTACCAACTTGAGCTTCCGGATCACCGACAGAGGAAGGCCAATGTAGAGGGCATTACAGTACTCCAGTCTTGAGATGACCGTGGCCTGGATCACTGTAGCTAGGTCATCCCTGGACAGGTAGGGGGCCAGCCGTCTAGCCTGCCGCAGATGAAAAAAGGCGGTTCTGCTAACGGCGGAGACCTGGGCCTCCATTGTCAGCAGAGGGTCCAAAAGGACTCCCAGACTCTTTACCAATGATGACGGGCATAACGCCTCGCCATCCAGGGTAGGTAGCTGGATATCCCCACTGCCCGGTCAACCCAGCCATAGGATCTCCGTCTTTGCTGGATTCACCCTCGACTTGCTGGCACGCAGCCATCCAGTAACGGCCTCGAGGCACTGATGGAAACAATCGGGTACAGCGTCCGGTCGGCCTTCCATCTTCCATTTGCTGGCAAAGGAATGCTGGCAAAACAAGTATGTATTTATGTTCTACATTAACTATGGAGTAAAAATTATTCTGTAAGTTTCTTAGTCCGCTGAGATCTAGTCAATATCAATTTCTAAGTTCCTAAGTAAAATAAACATGTTGATTCTAAACATAAAACCAAGCAAATACACATGTTCTAGTATGCTACTTATAACACACTGCTGCATGTACAGTTCAAACAAAGAGGATGGAGATATGTGGTTGTAAAATGCAAGTACCTTTATGGGGATCAACATTCTGTTCACTTCCTGTCCTGACCAATTTTCCTCTTCTGTGCTAATCTTAACTCTGTACAATAGAGCATATGGACAAATAGGCCTCACCTGAGTAGAAATGCTGATCAGACAGGTTTTTTCATAGGCCATCATGCCCAGTTCTATGCAATCACTTTCCCTCAATTCTTTCTCTTTTCTTCTGGTACAAGGATAAATTGGAATCATAACCTGCTAGGAAATTTATATGTAAGAATGCTAAAATGTGAACAGGTCTTTTATGCAACTGCCCTCTCATCATTTCTTTCTTTAGACTCTCTACTACAGGGAAGACAGAAGCAGCAAATACCAAGCTCTTCATTTCCTTTAAATAATTGAATGGAATATAGGACATTGCTGCAGCCGTGCGCCAAACCACCAATTCCAGCTCATGGGTAATAGCAGAGTCGACTGAGCCAATATATGCTTTGATTATACAAAAAGCAGAATGTTATTAAGAGCCCTGGTTCTACATGCAGAGTCTATATTTGGATCCATTACAAAACCAGGGTTTTCTCAATACACCCTCAAATGAATTCAAATACAGGACCATCAACTCTGTTGCTTTTAATTATTTCATAATTTAATTTAATTAGCTAGTTAATAAATGTGATTCAAGAACAGCATACACAGGGTGGTTTTGATGACTTGCTTAAAAGTATTTAATCCTCTTTACAGTACTTTTATTTTCCAAAAGTAGCAAGAGAGAGGATAAAACAGCACGTCAAACTTTGAATACTGGTAAAAGGTAAACACACTTATATTCTCCACTGTGTTTTGCCATTACTTTGGCAGCACTTGGAGGAAGAAAACTATATCAGGCAAAGCAGCACCTCAGAAAGTGAGTGAGAATGAAGACTAAATGGCAGAGGATGCCCTAAATTGTTACCTCTTAGGTCCTTATGTCTGAAGTTTTTGCTGGACATGGGTTAAGCATTTACAAGGTAGCTGTGCTGAAGAGAAATAAATGATTTCTCAATAGAATTCTGAGACTTAAGTATGCACCAGCAATAATGCACTGAGAAGAAGAAAAATCAACATTTTATCTTAGTGAACATTAGTTTTGCTAGTGTCCACACAAAAAGGTGAGCAAAGCCTTTTGTGGAGGATACTATTGCAGATTCTTCCTTAGTATTCATATTGTTCAAATAAGGCATTTTGATATAAAAGGTAATTCATTCTGCAGACAGCCCACAGATTAATCAGAGTTCTTGACAATTAAAATTAATTTTTGCAAAGTTAAAAAAGTAATTAAACTTCCTGTGACATTTTCCCCCTTCACCACTGACCTATTTTGGAGCTATATAATGTACTTATGCCTGAAGGGGGATGCATTTCAGCCTGAGGAATGGAAATCTGCCCTGCGCCAAACTTTATTTACAGTAGTGCAAGAGGCATTTAAATTTGTAATCCATGCACAAGGGGGAGAAGGTCTGCAATAATACAGCCGTGATATTAAAAGCTTCACCATAACATCAAATTTAACTTTCTCAATATTCTTAACGCTGTCATTGATTTTCACTCATGTAAACAGTAGCCAAAACTTGCTTTCATTCATCAGGCTAAACTGCTTTCAAAAGAGCAACATGGAATAAAAGAATCAATTTGCCTGACATTTACCACACTTATATGATGCAGCTTTTTGTGAAATTGATGATGACCAATTTGCATTACTAGTTTGTGGTGTTACATTTTAAAGAGTTACTTTGTTGTTGTTTCCTCATTGGCAAACCAAAATGCACAAGACACATCATGCAAGCTTTTGAAGCTTCACTGGCTTCTTCATCAGGTTTTTTTTTTAAAAAAAAAATCCTTCAGGTGAAGGAAAATGAAGGTCCTGTAATCATATCAGATTTTTTTTTGTTGTTCAGTTAGTTTCACCACAGAGGACTGGCTTCTACCTACATCATGATTCCTGCAGAACAACTGGCAGAAACAACTGATATGAAATATAGGCCTCCGACTACAACATCACAACTTTTCATGTCTTTATGATTTTGTAACATCTTTTATCTGATGAAGAAGCCAAAGGAGCTTCAAATGCTTGCATGGAATGTTTTCAGCATTCTGGTTGGCCAATAACCTACATTCATTGGACAGTTTTGTATTATTTTGCTGCATAACAAATGTAGCTATCCATAAACATGCCTATTGTTATTTGTTAGTGCCAGATACGGGGAACAGGATGTCACTCCAGAGACTTCCCAGAAGCACGGATGTCTTCTGATGTCTACAGTACAAAAGCTTTTAAAGTCTATTTGCTACAGAGTTGCAGGCAGGAATATGGGCTCATTGTAGACCATTCAGAAGACTCGTTTATTATGCTCACATTTAACCTCTCAACAAAAACAATAATCTTGGATTGAAAACTGGCTGAACAACTTGACCTGAATACATGCCCTGCCAAGGCTTAATCAGACAAGGCCAGATTCTTCGGCTATGTCTGCAATTTAGATCAACTCTCTTTTGTTTGTCGTTCACTTGTGCTTTCCAGTCTTATAATAGTATCCTATCGATAAATCCTTGTCAGGTCCTCCTTGAAGATTTCTTGCCAGAACAATTAACTTTCCCTCTGTATTGTGTAGACTGGCTTCATTTCAAAAAGTACATTACAAATAGCCAATATATTATTTCCTCATGAAGACTCTAGTGCTGAATTTCACATAATACTGAATGAAGTAAAAAAGGAAATACACTGTTCTGAATAATGAAAACAGAAAAGGGACTTTTTTTTTCAGTGAGGGTTTGACAGTTTCTATTCATTTATGTTGATAAAGCCAGGCAAGTTTGGGAAGCTGTCACTAATGAAACCATTTTCAGTAGCATATAGCATCAAGAAAATTAATGTCTGTGACTGGAATTCTGTTGGCTTGGCTCAAGTAAAGTAGATCCATTCAATCAACTGTCAAATCAACACAGAAATAAAACTGATTGCTCAACGGCTCTACTCTAGTTCATACCAACAACAGAATTTAGATACACAAAACACTGAGAACAGATACAATGGCTACATTCTAACAATATAAATAATATATATATTTAAAGACACCAAGATTTTTAGTATATAAATTAAGTCCAGGAACCTGCGAAGAACTGGAGACTGATCTAAAAACACCAGAATTTTCCATAAGCTTCTTTCATATATTGGAAACAGATACACTAGGTATCTGTAAGTGAAAATTAAAGAAGCTGTGAAGGTTGTTCCATTTTACCAAGAATTGTTCAGTAAATTTACAACATCTTTACTCTTCATTCTAGTCCATTTAGGCTTACTAGCAGGTCATCTATACTGCCAATTTGGGCATTACATATTTATTTTTCACATATCGGTCTTTATTTTATAGGTTCTTACTCTCATGCTGATAAAAAGAAAACAAGAATCTCTGAGCTGTGTGTACACATGTGGGCACAGTTAGCAGAAATCAATTTGAGACCACAATTAGGCAAGGCAGGGAATAATAATGAAAATAACTGATCACTTGATTCCAGCACAGGAGCAACTTTTTTTCTTCCTCTCTTTTCTATGTCTTGTGGGGAAAATGCAATGCTGATCAAATTAGGATTGTAAGATTTAATATTAATGTTGGGCAGATCAATCTGTACAAAGTAATCAATGGTCAACTAAATTCCTTTCTTGGAATCAGTTATTTTCAGATTACAAGAAGATAAAATAATGATCTAAGAGTCATTACCGTCTCTTAATCGTTCCACTATAAAAGTGAAGCCTGTAGTTCTTGGGTGCAAGACATACTCATATTTCAGAAGTCCATTCTTTTCAGCAAATGCATTACTGCGGGCTTTGGTGTTGTCTATAAAGATAAGGGCATGAAAAACACTGATTAAAATCAGCAGAATGACTAAGCTTTAGAACATTTTAGCGACACAGAACATCAGAGGAACAAGGGATCAAGGAGATTATAAGAGAGCGCTTTTCTTTAGATTAATAATGCCATGAAATACTTGTTGTGCTGTCTTACATAAACATATAAAATCTGTATTCGTCACATTCAGTTCTTATTGTGCAAAGCAGAAGTGCTAAAGACAGACTGGCAAGAGTCAACAGACTTGAGTCTTGCAACAAAGCTAACATATATTGGGCATAGTCCCAGGGTTACCAACAACAGTCCCAAAAGTAAACTGAATGCCCTATGCAGAATGCTGCCCTGGGAACCTAAAATAAAATTCTAGTTAGTGCACAAGTTGGCAGCTCTCTGTCAAGTACAAAGAAATACAAGCATCTAGGAAGAAGCCACAGAGGTAACAGTCAAGGGGGGAAAATCAGAACCAGCAGTTTCCATGGCTCAAAAGGCATTGATATCATGACGTGAAATCTACCTAGACTTCCACAGATGAGTTCCTCAACAGGTCTGTCAGTGAGGCCGCAACTGCTTACCCAACTGGTAAGACTATATAGGGTTAATCTACACTGACTATATAATGCAGTATAAAGCTAGCATCAAATCATGTTGGCTACAAAACACATGCCACCAAAGTGTGCTTCAGTGCAGGTTAAATAGTTTAAAATGCATGAATCCAAGTCAGGGAAAGTCTGTGGAGAATGTGAAGCGCATTGTAGAAACCTGCAGTTAGAGGCTGACAAAAAATACTCTAAGGGCACAGCTGGACAGAAGGAGAACAAGTGACTCACTGGGATGTGGAATTGAGTACTTCCACTACTGGCTTTCCCTTTTTGTTTCCTTTTTATGTGATCCAGAGCACTGATGCATACCTCACAAGGAATTGGGGGTGGGGGTGGGAACCACATTCTCGGAATGGATGGACATGTGAGTGGATGGGCATGTGTGCATGTGAAGTGGTGGGCAGATGGGTGAGTGAATGGAAGGGAACACTAAGTGGGGAGGCTGTCTAAAACAGGGGTGTGATTATTATGTGAGCAATCATAAAGTAACAAAACAAAGATCCCAAAAGAGTAGCAGGAATATTATGTGATGAAATCCAAAGATAGTATTTGAATTCAATGGTTCACAAAGCATTTACTAGATGTAACACACTTTATTAAATATATTCTGGAAAACAGCTTTCAACCACTGTAATTACACAAATCACTGCAAGGAAGCAGCAAATATTGTATTATCAAAAGTGTAAGCATTTCTTCTTTATAAGTCAGCCTATGTGAAGGCTTGGACAAATGTCCAGAAGGGTTCTGTTAGAAGGCATTGTTTCAGAATGTTGGCTGTCCGGCTCTCAAAAAATTAAGAAAACCATCAATATAACATAAACACATGTTAAAATGTACTGTGCCTGGCAGGCCTAATATGTATTGTACATTTTCACAGATACCTCATTGTGCCACGATTTTTGTACAAGATAAATAAGCTAAGGTACCTGTTAGATCTGTTCCTTCAGGAAAGAGGAGTAGCTGCAGTGGTTCATGAATGTCACAGAAGTAATCCAGCATTTTTTCAAAATGTTTTTTGTCTTCTTCCCATTTCCTGTGAATGAAAATAAAGGCAGCCACCTGCATAGCCCAACCTAGAAGAAGTTAGATATTTTTTTAAAATAAAATTTCCAGGTGTAATTATGCAAAACATTTACTTCGTTTTGTATACATTGTGAATATATTGCTTTAAATGTTTTAATTGTTTTAATGCATTTTATTGTATTTTAAATGTTTTAATTGTACATCGTTTTAAGGCATCAAATAGTTACCTATGTGTAAAGTTGCCTTGAGGTTGAGAAAGGTGGGGTAGCAATGTCGTAAATAAATAAATAAATAAATAAATAAGGCATAAAGAGAACTTTGGTACTGGACAGCATGTGAGATTTGATAATAAACTTAATAATACTGGCACAACTATCTGTACTGTACTGAATTATCTGCTTATTCTAAAACAAAATTTTAATCTTTTGGTAACTTATTTTCACCAGTTCTTCTCACAAACTATGAGGGTTGAATGAAAACTAATGCCTCCATCTTCGTTACTTGGGTTTGGTTGGGAATATTTTAATAAATCAAACGCAGAAATAATCTTTAGAATGTGTTCTTTAACTACCACTATTCACATTTCCACATAATCACCAGACAATTGGATACATTTCCTTTGGGGTGATACCTTCTGCTGTCAAGGATTCAATGACTGCACGTTGCTTAAGTCGCATTGACCAACCGTCTGCACAGGGTTCCATATTTTGCACATTAACAACACAACTGTTCAATGCTAAGTCTTCCCGCCAAAATGGAACTGTAGAGGAGAGTCTACTGAACAAGTCAGTACCACCCGCATACCAGTAATGCCATCTGTTGAGGAGTTATGAAGGTAGAGGTATTACTTTTCATTCAACCCCACAGTCAATTAAAAATTCTATTGAAATTATGGCTTACCTAACTGTTGAATGAAAAGAATAACAAAATTACAAGCCATCACCGTCAACCAATTATTATTACAGGCAGTCCACAAGTTACGAACAAGATAGGCTCTGTAGGTTTGTTCTTAAGTTGAATTTGTATGTAAGTTGAAACAGGTACTTATTTAGTGTAACTCTAGTCCTATACAGTTATAGATATACTTATTTATTTATTTATTTGCTTCATTCCTTTCTCACCCCTGTGGGGGGATTCAAAGCAGCTTACACCTCCAGCAAGATTCAATGCCATTTAAAACATAACCATAAACCATACATCCATGTATGCTTTGGATAGCATAAAGAAGGGTTAACATCCCTGTGGTGTATGTTTTGCTGTCTGTTCCATTCAGAAGATTTCACCTCACTTTCTGTGCCTGTGATAATTGGATTTTGAACAATTTGGCTTGTTGTGGAAACAAGGATGGTGAAAATGTTTCAGTGGAGACATCTTTTCCAATCACTCTTTCAGGAATGACTTTCCCTTCCTAGGGATAGATTTTTCTCACTTGTTTGCAACTTGAGGACTGCCTATATATAAATATACATTGTGACATAACACATTTTAAAAATTAAAATCAAAATATTCCCAGTGGTTAACAGGTGATAATGGAGGGGGAGCTATTTCTTAGTGGTGGAAACTCCTTCCTTTGAGGCATTTAAACAGAGGCTGGATGCCCATCTGTTGGGGGTGCTTTGTTTGTGTTTTCCTGCATGGCAGGGGGATGGATTAGATTTCTCTCATTTCCCATAGTCTCAGCTTTGTTTTTAACTATGAGTCATTTGTAAATCAGATGTTTGTAACTCGGGGACTGCCTATATGATGATGATGATGACTGTTTTTGGAAGGAGGAGGGTGATTGGGAGGGGGAGGGGTGTGGGGAGAAACAGTGGAAAGCGGATGGATATAAGTAGGGAAAGAGAACGGTACTAATAAGGTGTAAACACCAGGCAACACCAGAAAGGGCAAATATACATATATTGATTTTTTTTCTCTTTATGTGCTAAATTGGATATATACAACCGACACACACACACACACACACACACACACACACACACGGAGTATATGTCACCTTTGGTATCTTCTAAATTTTCCCATGAGGAAAGTGGTTATGTTAAACTCTACTTGTACAATCCAAATAAAAATAATTTCTAAAAATGATATTTTTGGTACCCTGCTTTTTCTCTTCACAAGGAGACTAAAAGTGGCTTACATGAAAAGCATTTCAATACAATGTAAAACCTACAAACATTAAAACATTTAAACAGAATTAAGTTGAAAGGTATTTGAATTCACTGTTAAAATCCATAACAACTGATGAAAAATATATTCAAAGCTAAAAACACAACACTCCCTGACTTGATCTCAAAAACCTTTTTTCAAATCCTGCCTGAATAGCTTGCTGCTGTAAGGACAGCACGGAGGGGACCATTCTGGTTCCCTGGGCAGGGATTCCAGAGTCAAGGGGCAGTTACTGAGAAGGCCCCCTCTCTCGTTCCCATCAATTGGGCTTGAGATAGAGGTGGGACCGAGAGAAGGTTCTCTCCTGAAGACCTCAGGGTCCAGGCAGGTTTGTACAAGGAGATGCAGTCAGCTAAATAGCCTGGACCTGAGCCATCTGGGGCTTTAAAGGTCATAACCAGCACTTTGAGTTGTGCCCGGAAACAAACTATCAGCCAGTGGAGCAGCTGCAACAGAGGTTGTCAGCTCCCTGTAGCCAGCCTGAGTAAGCAACCTGGCTGCAGCTCTTTCGACCAGCTGAAATTTCTGAACACCCTTCAAAGGCAGCCCCATGTAGAGCGTGTTAAAGTAATCTAGACATGTAACTAAGGCATGTACCACCTTGGCCAGGTCCAGCCTCTCAAGGAGCAGTCACAGCTGGTATACAAGTCTTACTTGTACATGGGCCCTCCGAGCCACTGCATATACTCAGACATCCAGGTTCAATGCTGAATCTAAGAGTGTGGAACTGTATCTTCAGGGGGTGTGTAATCCTACCCAGAACAGACTGGGTCCCTGTTCTCGGATCTGGCTTCCGACCAACCAGGAGCAGCTCTATGTTGTCTGGATTGAGTTTCAATTTATTTGCCTTCATCCAGTCCATTACTGTTGACAGACACTGGTTTAAGGTCAGGATAGCTTCACTGACCTTGGGTGAAAAGGAGTTGTAGCGTTGGGAGTCATATAAACATAGGTGGCTCCATGCTCCAAAACTCTGGATAACCTCTCCCAGCAGTCTCATGTATATGTTGAACAGCATGGGGACAAAATGGAACCCTAAGGAACCCCACAGGTTAACAGCTCGGAGTTCGAACAAGAATCTCCCGGCATTATCTTCTGGTATGGTCCTCCAGGAAGGGCCGGAGCCAATGTACGACAGTGCCTCCCAGGTTCATCCCAGCAACAGGACCCAGAAGGATACCATGGCCAATGGTATCAAAAGCCACCAAGAGGTCCAGAAGAACCAACAAGGACACATTCTCCCAGTCCAGCTCTCTGTGTAGGTCATCCACCAAGGTTCGACCAAAGCTGGCTATAGAACAGCTGTCTCTGTTCCATACCAGACTGATACCAGATTAAAATGGATCTAGATAATCTGTTTCATCTAGAATAGTGATTCTCATCCTGTGGGTCCCCATATATTTTGGCCTTCAACTCCCAGAAATCCTAACAGCTGGTAAACTGGCTGGGATTTCTGAGAGTTGTAGATAAAAACACCTGGGTACCCACAGAGGTCCACTGATCTAGAAACTCCTGAAGTTTAGAGGCCACCAGATGGTACAGAACTTTGCTCAAAAGGGGAAGGTTGTGTTGCGGTTCGTTAGTTTATATTGAAAATACACAGTAGTCTTCCCAGCTTCAGGCCCCAAGTTGAAAATACACAGAGTATAAAAGAAAAAACGTCTTTACTCTTGAGTAGTCAACACATGTATTTTATAAAGAAACATACAGTAGCCTTGAAAAACACATTGTCCACATTGTCCATCGCAGAAGGAAAAGAAACTTACAAAACAATGCATTAATCTGCTTCTTTCCAGCAAACCTTGTAGTGTAGTTCCATCTCTGATTACTTCATTTCACCCACTACCTGCATCAAGAAAACTTCACCTGATATACATCCTAATCAGAGAGTGGTTCTTCCTCAACACACATATAAGCTAGAGATGATTCTTGTCAAGACTTACAAAATCATATACTGTAACAGGTTGGACACTGGCTAATATTTGTCCAGAGTTGGCTTTTTAAAATACTGAACTCACAACTTTCCTTAGGCAAGCTGGAATTTTATAAGTCTAGTTGTACAATATTTTTGATTTGCATAACAGGAATGGAAAATGTGCTCAGAAGGCTGCATGCACTTTCATAACTATTTATGGAGGAGCTTCAGCCAGACACAAATGGCTGGCTGAAGCTCCTTCATAAAGCTCAGTGAGAGGAGATGCTTTGGCAACTACTGATATGGAGGCAAACTGAATGTAGGGGATTTCTCTCTGGATTAAGGGGATAATGGGAAGTCACTCACAAGTGTAAGAAGCCTCACACAGTGACTAAGATGAATGGCACACTGGGGAAGGGAGCGGGATACACTGCTGAAAGCAAGCCTGTAAGGACAACAAGCCTGCTATTGCACATTCTTTAATTATCTTTTAATTCAATAGCTCAACTTTACTGGTTATAATTAAGAGGGATCTTCAAGAAGAGAGATTGTAAGGATTATTTTAAGTCTGCACTGTGATGCAAAAAGCTCAACTGGAGGGTAATGTAATTAATAATATGGACAAAGGGTGTATTTCTTTGTTTGGTGACAACAAAGTGGATTATTCCCAAAGACTAAGAGATCTCATGGGAAAAGGCAAAGGGATACATCGTACTCATAGCTGCAACAAAATAACAGATAAACCAAGCGATGTGGCAATGGTACCACGTTTATAGAAGTATAATTAAAATTAACTTCTTGATTATTTAAGAGGTTGCTATATATTACAGGTTTGTTTTCTTTCATGTCAGGAGCGACTTGAGAAACTGCAAGTTGCTTCTGGTGTGAGAGAATTGGCTGTCTGCAAGGACATTGCCCATGGGACTCCCGGATGTTTGATGTTTTACTATCCTTGTGGGAGGCTTCTCT